GATCACAGCGCGATGTTTTCGTCGCGCTGTGATGACGTCATGTACGCGCTTTCGTCGAGCGCGGTTTTGTCTACCGCGGTTTTGTGGTGGAACCCATAACTTAACGAGGACTTCCTTTCCCACTTCTGTAGGTGAATCTGAGCTCTTACTAGGATGAGGAAGTAGGTTTTTTTCTGCTATCTGGGTTCAAGAAAAACTTTGCAGCTCCTTGCTATCACCGCATCAATAAAAAATAAAATCTTATCCTTGATAGGACTCAAAAGATTAAAAATGTGGGATTCTGGCTGCACAGTGCCCTATTTTATAAAGTTCGGATTGTGGACCCTTAAAAAACATCCCCCATTTATTTTGTCCAAGGTCAAGTTGGAAAAATGACCATGCCTGTCCTAAGCTAATACTAATGAAATAAGAAATCTGGATTTCCAATATCTCCTTAACGGGTATGTTGCTAGGAATATTTATGATGGAGAAGATTGTTCTGAAACAAATCAGATTTGTCCAATAGCTTCCTCCACTTTCGGACAATATTGTGATGAATTAAATTCATTTTGGAATTCATTCACTCCAGGACTACGACGTGAATGTTGAGGCGACTTTGCTAATTCTCCCCATTAGCTGTTTTAGTGGAAGGGATATTGTCCCCCAAGAGTTTCAGCTGTATAAACCGTTGCAGGGACTCTGGAAACAATCCTTAATTACTTTTACACACAACAATTGCGGCAATTGAAAGACTGCTGAACAAAGGCACAATCCACCACAGGCCCCTTGGCATTTCCCTCCGCCCCCACAACTTGGTCCAAGGCTGTGAAACGACTGGATAAAAACAGAAAAGGAAAAATTCACCCACCTCGGAGTGCTTGCGCCAAATATCTAGGTTCTTCCGTTGAGCTTTGGAGAAATGGTCCCAAGCTTTTTGCCGGGCGGAGGCGTTGAAAACGGCCACAATCTGCTCAACTTTGGTGAACAAGGAAGTCAAACAAGACAAGCAATTTATGTTGTGATCGCTAAAGGAAAGCCATGTAAAGACACGGGGAGTCCCGCGGATGACGCCACTCCTGGAATGACCTCATCCGCGGCCTCCGACTGCGTGTCTTTTCTGTACTTACATTTCAGAACTGTTGGAGGTTTCCTCCTCCTTCAAGTGTCTGCTCACAACTTTAGTCTACAACCGTTTGCGCCCTGATTACAGACAGATTGGCATGCAGTTAATGGCTTCTCCAGTTGTTGTTACAGTCCTGACTTGTATACATGAGATGCTAAGTTAGAGGTGAAGCTGTAGAAAAACCCCAATTTGTAGCTTCTGAAGCTGTAATTCTAGAACCTGGATGAAGTTTGTTGCCACTCTGAATGTACACTAATTGGCATACGTTAAAGTGAAATTTTGTGGCATACAGATCTCAAAGGGTACACCTCCAATATACACTACATAAATGGCAAAATAAATAAATAAATACAAAATTATGCCTATACCCACATATATTCTATCACACATATAAACAACGCAGTCTAGTTTAGATGTGTACATGTCCATGGCAAGAAAAACAAATCTTGGGAGTTTATTGGACGGATGGCCAAGGCCTGTTACAAAGCTGTTACAGAAATCCTGTCAGAAATACTTCGGAACCTCCTCTGAGGGGGGAGCAATAGAAACAGAGCGTGAAGTGAGTGTGTGGGGATCTCTCACAATCCTTCGAGCTCTAAGTACTTAGCATTTATAAGCAGGGTCCTGAATAATGGGAAGTGAGCTTTTTATAATCGTCTCCACTGTCCTCACCACTCTCTGTAGGGGCTTTCTATCTGAGGCACTGCAATCACCGCACCAAACACGGATGTATTTTGTTAAACCACTGTTAATTGTGCCTCTGTAAAAAGTGGCCAGGACAGAAGGAGAAAGATGTGCTCTCTTCATCCGACGCAGGATTAGTCCATGCTTCACTAAGGATGATATGTTGACAGGCCAGTTCAGATTGTTAAGGTGCACATAACTAATTGTCTGTACCCCCGGATACTTAATACTATTAAGTCTTAACAGTATTAATACTGTTGCATCCCTGATACTGAGTGTAGTATGACTAAGCCAGCTGTTTATTTTACCTAAGAACATGTCTCAGTTGACTCAATGGGACTTATTTTTTAGTAGACACGTATAAGATTATACTCTTATTGAAAGTGTTAAGGAAATTCCCAAGTTGGAACTTGAGTTAATCTAGAGAAGATGGCACCATTTATTTACCTATCCTTTTAAATGAAGACTTCTCTCTTCATCTCCCTTGTGGGCCAATGTCTTCCACAAAACATTTTAAGTCTGCTTATCCCTCATATTTGCAAACTGCAGATCTACAGTATTAAAGTGAACTTGTGATTTTTTACAGACCCACTGAAATTTAAATATGTATATTGCTAATTTACATAAGAAGCATGGAAGATATTAGGAGCCCAAAAGATATCTGCAATTCAAATCGTATTCTTTTCTTCGGTTCTTTATTCTAATATTTCACTTCCACTCTCTCTCTCTCTTTCAGAACATTACATTTTCAAGTCAAAAGATAACATTTGAGGTTGCCAAGCAATCGCAAATGAACTGTCACTCAGGCCTTAAAAAGTAACTAAAATAAAAATATTGCAAATCAAATTCTGGAGTTCCACAGTTGGCAGATTCACACAATAGCAGCAAACTGTGACAGTTAATTCAGAAAACATATGTATTTCATTTTGGCGAAGGGATTCTCATATTTGCAAATCTAAGAGAAAGTCTTCTCTGGAAAGTGAATTATCCCCTCTACACGCCAAAAAGACCTTGGTTTGTGTTATTGCTGCAGAAGTAATTTTTTTTTTTTAATCTTCCCCACCGTTTTTTAAATTATGATCCGATAAGCCTTTATGGTAAGCTCTGCCTCGGTGTTGATTTAAGAAGGTTATTCTGGATTTCACTGAATATCTTCCGCTCGACCTGCGCGGATTGTCCATTTGGAATTTTCCAAACGGAATTTTGCAAACTGTTTTTTACAAATTTTACGGACCTGGACTGTGGAGTGTGCAATTTGAAGTTTGCAAACTGATTGTGCAATTTATTTATTTATTGTGCAAAATATTTATTTATTTAGTGTGCAAAATATTTATTTATTTAGTGTGCAAAATATTTATTTATTTAGTGTGCAAAATACGAGTTTGTTTGTTTGTTTGTTTAAGTTTATTTATAGGCCGCCCTTTTCCCTGAGGGGACAAAGGGCGGCTTACAACTTATATAGGAAGGGGAAACATACAATGACATATAGGACAATACATAATTAAAAGAATAGAGCAACATTCATCATTCGGGCGGGGATGGATTATAATCTTTAACCCCAGGCCTGACGGGAGAGCCAGATCTTAAGGGCCGCGCGGAAGGTCTGGACGGTGGTGAGGGT